AGTGATGACCAAATATTGGGTGGAAGAACAGGGGCCAAATCATTTATGCAAGGAGAAAAAGTGTTGTGCTTAAACACACCCCTGAGGACCCCCTTCAGCTTGGACGAAGCCCGGGGGGAAAAAACTTTTTTGATCGAACAGGGGAAATGTCTGCCAGTTAAAAAGTTCTTAAGGATGGTAAAGCCTCGGACCTAAGGAATGGCCTGGGCCAAAATATTAACCTCCAAGTTGTTCATATGCCTTTAAGGTCAAAAAATATGGCAATAACCGAGTGATTTTTCGCAAAAGGCATTACAACATACGTATCCAAGCGAGAAGGGGTCATGGTAGAACGACCCTTTTGAAACCATATTTACTAGCGGAAGACGTTGTGGTTCTAAATACCACATTAAACATCGATTTACGAGACGTTCCATCACTTTGCAAACTGCACTAGTAAGAGCGATGGGGCGATAGTGGGAGGCATCATGTCCTGTAGTACCCGGTTTGCAGAAAGGGAGAACAATGGCCGATTTCCACAGCTGGGATGCAAAGTAATAAAGGAGTCTGACAATTACAAACTGAAGTAGGGACAAGATGCAATACGGATAATTGTAGTGAGAATGGTATACAATTTAGCTGTAAAAAATGCTGAAAGTCTAATAAATGACCTTGCACCACACTGTCAATAAACTGCTGTAAACCCAACACTCAGAGGATTTAGAACCATCAGTGTACACTGCAATGGTATGAGAAACTAGGTCGGAAGAAAAAGCCCGCGAAGCAACTAAGGATTTGGGCTTTCAAACACGGCAGGAGGGAAGAACAGACAAGAACTGTCAGAACTTCCCAAGGGGGAAGGAGTAAAAGTTAGAGGCTAGACAAACATACATCACAATCGTTCAAGGATGGGACATTTGCTTTTGCATAGAGGCTCTTTAGGGAAGACATGTCGGGCAACCACTCTCACCCATTTAAAAATTAAGGAATGCTCTGTGGTCCTATCGTAATGATATCGGCCCCCATGCAATGCTTACTCAAGGTTTGAGGTACAGAATGTGAAGCTGCAGTTAAAACTGACAAAATAAGTTTAGCGCTTCTTTTTTATTATAATAATAACAATAGTGTAACAGCTCATCAGTAGAGGATGAAGAAGGGTCCTCATTAAAAGCAGTTTGGGGCAAGTACAGGTCCCAATTCCTGCGTTCAAATTGCCAACGTGGGCTTCGAGGAGTGAGAATATGAATGGAAAAGGAGGATAGGAAAATAATCGCTGTCATGTAAATTTGGAAGCCCAGACCAAGTAGTCAAGTGCAATTGATGCAGAAATAGAGATATCAATACAAGATTATTATAATAAAAAAGAAGCGCTAAGCCACTATCAATACAAGGGATATTGAATGCGAGGCTCAAAATGGGTGCGAGTACCAGTATTTAAAACATGGAGGGGAAGATTATTATTATTATAATCAAAAAGAAGCGCTAAGCCACAAGACTATACAGCGCTGCAGGGTAGGAAGGAAGCGAGGGCATCAGGTGGTAAAAGGGCGGTGGATGAGTAATAGGTTACGGATAACAGCGGAGCAGTGGATGGTGAAAGGGTCAGACTGAGGTAGAAAGGGCTGTGGGGAGTGCATAAGGTATCATCATCAGAGTTTGTGGAGTAAATCAGTCGTTGTCAAGAAGTCAATGAGAGAGGATTAAAGGAGGGTTCATCAGCAAGAAGGGAAGGTAGAGAAAGAGTAGTAGAACGAAGACGGCGGAGGAAATTCTGCGTGCTCGTTGATAGAGGGGGCAGTCTAACAGAATGTGGCTAATCGATACAGGAACTTGACACTGCTCACAGAGAGGTACAATGTGCCTCTCCATGAGATACCCGTGAGTAAGACGAGTGTGGCCAATGGGAAGACGTGAGAGAGTAGTCTCCCAACCACGGCACTGATGACAAGAAGACGGTCAATAACCTATGCTCGGTTTAATAGAATGAAGTTTGTTACCAAGCAGAGTTGACCAACGTTGTTGCCAACGGGCGTGAAGGTGGGTAGCTATTGCAGCAAAATAGTCCAGAAATGGAATACCTCTATAGGAAATTGGTAGGTCATGTACTGCTGACCGCACAGCAGTGTCTGCCTGTTCATTGCCCTGTACGTCGACATGACCAGAGGACCCAACAAAAAATAATATCTATGCTTCGTATTATTATTATAATCAAAAAGAAGCGCTAAGCCACAAGGGCTATACAGCGCTGCAGGGTAGGGAAGGAAGTGAGGGTATTGGATGGCAGAAGGGAGGAGGGATGATCAGTAGGTTACAGAAAACAGCGGGGCAGGGGATAGTATGGGGGTAGAGGGTAGCAAGAGATTGAAGTAGAAAGGGCTGAAGGTATCAGAATTTGTGAAGTAAGTCAGTTGTCAAAAAGTCAATGAGTCTGGATGAAAGGTGGGTCCATCAGCGAGAAGGGAAGGTAAAGAGAGAGCAGCAGAGCGAAGACGACGACGGAGGTAAATTCTGCATGCTCGTTGATAAAGTGGGCAGTCCAACAGAATGTGGCTGACTGATAATGGAACTTGGCAATTCTCAGAGAGGAGCAGGGCGCCTCTCCATGAGATATCCATGTGTAAGACGAGTATGGTCAATGCGAAGACGGGAGAGAGTAGTCTCCCAACCTCGACACTGGTGATAAGAAGACAGCCAGTAACCTATATACTCGGTTTAATAGATTGAAGTTTGTTGCCGAGAATAGTAGACCAATGTTGTTGCCAACGGGTGTGAAGTTGGGAAGATATTGCAGCAAAATAGTCCATAAATGGAATACCTCTACATGAAACTGGTAGTCATGTACTGCTGACCGCGCAGCAGTGTCTGCCTGTTCATTGCCCTGTACGTCAACATGACCAGGGACCCAACAAAAAACAATATCTTTATGCTTGGTAAAGATGCGGCGTAGCCAAAGTTGGATACGGAGTACTAGGGGGTGAGATGTATCAAATTTTCTTATAGCCTCTAGAGCACTAAGGGAGTCTGAGACTACCACAAATGATGACACAGGCATAGATGCCATAAGAATAAGTGCTGCAAGAATGGCATACAATTCAGCAGTAAAAATGCTAGCCGAAGATAGTAAATGCCCCCGCATGATGCTGTCCGGAAACACTACTGCGAATCCGACGCCGTCTGAAGACTTAGATTATTATTATAATCAAAAAGAAGTGCTAAGCCACAAGGGTTACTGAAGACTTAGAGCCATCTGGGTACACAGCGATGGCATGAGAATGGGAGTGGAAGTGATCAAGAAAAAGAGCGGGATACTAGTGCACACAAGAAGTGCACTTTCGTTAAGTTCCATCAGGAAAAGGATCAGATGAATGTAATAAAACAGCCTGACAGAGGATGGATAACAGCAGAGCATAATTTAGATTCTTGTATATAGACACCAACAGGGTGAAACCTGGGAGAGCAACACCTGAAGCCTCAGTTATTCCACTGTAAGCAAGCCATGATTTGCAAGAAAAGCATATCTGGAATTCTGAAGCAGCAGGAAGCGACTGGAAAGAAGGGGACTATGAACCTCTACACTCGCAACAGAACCAGTAAAAGGTAAAGAACTTGGTAGAGACTGGAAAGGATAAATGTTTAGAAAGGCTATGTGAAGGGGTAAAAGGCGGTTTGAACTTTGGAGAGGTTTAGACTTCAAAGTAGAGACGAGGGGAAGGTGTAGCAGTGCAAGGTCTAGTAGACAAACATGCGAGTGAGCAAGATGAAGATTAGGCATTGAGGTAGGGACCTTGTTAGCGAGGACTGGAAAAGTTCAAGGTGACTGAGGAAGTTGTGACAATTGAGTGGAAGTAGGTACTACCGAGGTTCGAGTCTTGCTAACTCTAGAATAATAAAGTTGTGGAAGTCTCCCCTGGAGGTGAAGATGAGACTGCCAGAAATACACCAGTCATCCGAAAGATACTTAAAGCTGCCACCCCAAGAAACGGAGAGGGAATAGGACATCCTCAGTTGATCCAGATTCCATGGCATTCTAGGAACTAGAATGCCTGAGGGAAGAACCCCAAAGGTTGAAAACAGGAAGGGGATTGGGAGGGGAAGGATGGGATAGGGAAGAGGGGATTCGGGAGTATTAGGTTCGGTCTGAGGAAGACCAAGAGAGCCAATTCCTCAGACCAATAGCCTCTTTACCGCCCTCATAAAGAAGATAATGGAGGGAGAGTCTGTAAGGGCATTATATTAATGAAATAGAAGGTCTAAGCCACAGGATATATATGGCAGGAGAAGGACCGAGGATTCACAGTGTTCAGAAGGAGATAGCATGAGCAACAGTTACGGAAAACACTGGAGAGTAACTGAGTGATAGTAACAAGAAAGAAGACCCATGGATCCCAAAGGCGAAGGGACGTCAAAAATTTCAGAGTTTGGAGTAACAGTCGTGTCAGAATAATTGAGACAGCCAGATATAAAAAGAAGGTCATCAGAAGAAGCAGAAAGTAAAAGAGATGTACAAACGAGACGAATTGAGAGGTAAATTATGCGGGTTGCTCGATTACATAGCAATAAATGGGGCAAATAGTAGCTTTACCATTAGCAATTGTAAGGCTAGAGAGGAAAGATCCAAAAAAAGACCCTTTTGATCTCTACAATTACACAGACTTGCAAGCTGATAAGTTCCCCCCTGGAACGTACATGTTGCAATTACAAAGTCAGTACAAAGGGCTTTTCATATAGTCAAATTAGATGATTGTGGGTCACATTCTAAAGGAGCCCAACCAAAGTCAACATCGATGAAGGACAAGGCACACTATTTTGACAAGTTGGTCACTTTTTTTTTCTTTTACCAATAACATCAGATTCCAACCTTATCCAGGTAAGGAATGAAAATTTTCACACAAGTTTTTTTTATATATAATACAGTAGATTGTGAAAATGCTGAGTAAATCTGTGGACAGCTCACACACACAGCCAATGAAATAATTTTTAATTAAACATTTGTTAAAAAGGCTCATTAAAAACTTCTCCACTGAAAACCACATGCGAAATTTATTTGCCAAATTAATATTTTAACAGAAACAAAGAGGTTGTTTTGTGTTGAGCGAGTGAGAGAAAGGTAATGATGACGTAGTGACAGCATTGGAAGTGTTCTTACAGACTACTACTTTATATACCCTGGCTTACTCCTTCACAAAGTCTGTCCAGAGAATCACTCGAGGAGATGGAGTTTTATACATCTGAAGTATCAAGTTTAAATACATGTTGAGATCACATTCACACACACTTCATACATCTTGCATATTGGCATCAATATTATGTATAACCACTTTGAACAAAAAATTAACGAGGCGCACAGAATATCAGGATTATTAACATCATATGAGAGCAAATATTACATCATTATTATGATGACAATATAGTTATCTCCATATCAGATGATGGAGCATGAACAGGAAGCTTCCACATGGCTACCTCACCAAAATACAGTGGAATCATAGTGGAACATTACACGACCAAGTTACAAATTCATGGATATTGTACCACTGACAAGCAGCATGACTGACATTCAAACCTTGGACTGGAAATAATCTCATAATACACATTCAAAACAAGCATAAATATTACCCTTGCAACACAGCACCTAAACTCAGTGAAATACTGCCCTCAACAACCACTTCAAGTGCTCATTCACTGCATATGACTGTTCCTGAATTCATGCTCTCAATGGTTGTCTTACAGGAAGCATCATCTATATTTTCACAAGGACAGATGACTTTATATAATAGTTAACCATTTAACCTGCATACCTTCAGGCTTGTATGTATGTATGGGAACACTTATTTGACTGCTCAACAGCGTAAGGCAAATAATTTTCCACTAACTTTTCTGTGCTTTCACTTTTGAGCCAGACTGTATCTAGCCCTAGTGACAAGAAAGTAATTATCTAATTCTCCTTCGCATCAGGTGCATCAACTATATCAAACTACCATGGGTATATGTCAAAAAATATTAAATTTCCAGTCATTTTTTTTTACCTAGGTATATCACTCACAAATACAGGATACTACTTTTGCCATTTTAATTTTCTAGTGAATAATTACATCATGAACTTCAAAAGGCAACCTCCACTACAGGAAACTTGCAGATGTCTCGGCTTACTTTCCTCCCGAAGGTCCCTCGTCTGTTGACTTGGTATTTATCACAAAGATTTTTAAAATGACTATAAACAGTGAATAAAATTGCGCCAAAGAATAAATACCCAACCCGAGCTGAATTACATAAACAACTTAATGTGTTGACCCTAAATGCAATAATTCAACAAGGGCTCTACATAAATCCTCAATGTTCCAAATATCATTTAGAGCACTCATTACCTTTGGAAACACTGCACAGCAAGAAATGGAGAGAAAATGGGAAGGATGCTTTACATACATTCTAGGCTTCACATATATTAATTTAAAGAGGAAGGTACCTTGCTAACTTTAGCAATGACTGACAAATATGAGAAAAGAAAAAAAAAAAACGAGGCAATAAATTACTAAGGCTTATTTTCCCTGCTAAAAATCATGAGAACGGACACATGGACCTCTGCTTCACTTCACTTGGTCACAAATACAATACAGGTTACACCCTGAATACTCAGCCTTTGGCAGCAACCTTCAAATAATTGCCTTTACTTGTGCTATAGATGGGTAAAAGAAGTTTTGAAATTCATTAGAATATAACTTATTGAAATAGCATACTTTAAAACCATTCAGCAACTGTGAAACAAAGCTTTATAGATTTTAATGTAATAAAGTGATAAACTGGTTACAAAGTCTCAAACATCTAAGGTGAGGATAATTGTTACGAGATTTTCAGTTGCAGTCTCACCGTATGTGCTTGGGAGGAAATTGACATTGCTTGCAACATTCCTAGGCAATTTGAGCACAATGGTCACCCATGTTAGGACCTGGAGTCACACATACAGTTCAAGAATTATGAAATTATGTAAACAAAGAATAAAAACTTTTGTATATTAAAACATGTGCAACTGAAGGTAACAAAACTATTATTTAAATTATTAATAAACTAGTGTTGGAATTTGGCATTCTTGTATAAATAATACTTGCAGATCTATAAATGACCTTGTACTGTAACTCACCAAGTCAAAATTGTTAAAAAATATAAGCTACACAACACATCTGATAATATTTAAAGTCAATGTAACTACAGTGTCCTCAACAGCAACCTTGTGTGGACGTGAATTCATCACTCGCCAAACATACTTCAGTAAAGCCAATGTTCACACGCAGGGATCAAAGCAATTTATTGGCCAAAGGTTGACTGACCATCTTCGCATCAATCATTAAAATAAAACTACCTTTTTAGGCCGGCTCTCTCTCATTCTAAATGCTATAGGAGTATTATATATTTAATTTTGCAAGCAATTTACCTGCCAAGCTTTACTCTTACTTGGGATTAAGCTTTATGCCCACTGGTCAATAAGCTATTTGAGACGAGAGCACAACTATTTGCAATTACGAAGGCAAATGGAAAATATGGAAGCCATGACTTTGTAATAAAACTTTTGCTATCCAACATTCATAGACAACCAAATCCCTGGTAGTGTAAATGCTTCTGTAACGAGCACTTTTAAATGAAAATGCGCTCGAGTTTGCGTATTATACAACAGAGAATCAAGCTCAGGATAATTAACCAGACACCACCAGGCAGTCTTTCACTTACTCCCGTATACCAAGTTAACAGTTTAATGTACTTCGTAAGACCAAACCCTTGTTTAGGCTCACTATATGTATGGACAATTCATTTTCTGTACAATCTTCTTCCTCATGGAAATTTCCAGACATCAAGATCTGACAAATTTATCCAGCTGCAGGACACAGGCTGTCCAAAGAAAAACACTCCCTAAACAACCAACTAGCAACACATTTATTGTCACACGTCTGCAACGTAGCAGTTATTCCATTACATTAACACTTAAACCACTGAATTCAGAGTGTTAACTCACTTGTGTTCAATTTATCGATTGCATATCACCAGGACCATCAGAGGACCCAATGGTAAATGTTCCCTGACCTGTTTTAAATCCCCCCCTCCCTCCCAAGAGATGTCAAAAATGGTGTTTGTCACTGGCACACAATCACAACCTGGGTCACTGGGGACAGATGGCAGGGTCATAGTTATTCCCCTGGGACAGTGAATACCCTCACAATGTTTCTGATGTATAAACCCCCTTTTTCCTTTACAGGGATCAAGAATACTTCTCACAATGTGAAGAAACTTGTTCCTCTAGTCACAGCCAAAACATGGTAGGTGCCAATAATGCTACCATAGATGTTTACGATAACACATAAGCCAAAGTGTCTCGATAGACTTTTGGCCATGTGTGGGATCCTCACTTTAGCACCAGCGAGAAAGCCAGCATCCATGACTAACTAGTATGTCCAATGAGAGTACTGCTCACATCTTTGTAAATAGTTTTTTTTTTTTTTTTTTTTGATTCAGACAAGATAGACAAGCACTCGCATATACACAATAAGTGAATCAGCCACATAGTTTCTAGGGTGTGACTTTTTCACATTTTCAATAATGTACAAGGCTATCATAGTCAAAAATAAACTCTCAACTGTACAGGTAAGCAGGATTGCCCCACATTTGGCACCGGTCACACACTCTCCAGTTGGGCAAATTGCATACGGTAAACAGCATGGTCATGTCGTCAATATGTACACAAAATGGCAGACAGCGTAGGCACTGGAGAAGGATGATGCAGCCACATGCACTGCAGCAGCAGAACTGGGCAACTAGTGGGGTGTGGGAGCACCAGGCTGGGGACGTATCAAACTAGTGTACCACTCAGTAGCTGCCAGAGAACACCACCAACATGCAGTTACACCCAATTTGTAGTATGTTGGTATGTGTATAGGACAAGGCAGAACTAGCCAGGGTGTTCATATTATGTCTTATAGTCCCTGACTGTAGTCTAGTCCCCTTAGCCTGGTGGGCAGCCTCTGTCAATATGTCACTTCCAGTCTCAGACTTCACTTTGGTGACTTAGGTCTGGCAGAATCCCGTGGCCTGAATGACGAAGGCAAACGATTTTCCCGTGGGGGTCCATCCCTTCTCATGGGCTTGCAGTCTCGCTCACGGGGTAGCAAAACTTTCTCTGCAAAGTAATTAATACGTTAAAGCTAGACAATTGGCTACACAAATAAAAATAAAGAATGGAAGGAATGGAACATGTATCATTACCTAATAACATATTCCCTATTTTACAAAACTAGTCAGTATACTGTAGATTCTGGAAAAAAAAAAAATAGAAAAAAAAATTAAATTTGATTTTTTAAATCAAGGATCAACTACTCAATTTCACAAATGTCACAGAAGTACTTCATTATATCTAAGTTATATTACAAATTATATTTACTAACACAGACTAGGTTTCTCTGGCAAGAACATATACAAATGTAATCAACAGACGTTTGAATAAAACAAAGCAGTTTGTAGATAGCTTCATAGAGAAGCTAATAATGAAAGTTATCAAAATTATTTATGGAATCAATTTCTAAAGATACACAATACCATGCAATTACTGTACTTCTGGTGTACTGCATTTATCACTCAAAAAATAAGACCACAAGACATGTTACAAAATGAACACAAATACCTCTTAAATAATTCACAAATTATATTTATAATAATCCATAAACACACTGAGTTCCTCAGCACTGTATGGAAAAAGGTGTTGATTTTAGAAGTGTGAACAATGAGGTCATTTGAAAAGGGCAAGTCAAAGACAGTGCAACAAGTCAGTTTCAGTTAAGAAGTCAGAGTCTGTACTGTATAAATCACAGGAGTTAGAAGTCAGAGTGCCTACAATGAAGATGGGACTTACTGAAGTGAGGTAAGTTAGAATCAAGGTATAGGGGCTTTGAAGATGTTGGATTTTTTTTTTAATAAATGAGACAATCTATAAAATGAGGCACAAATGTTAACCTGAAAATTCTGAAGGGCAATAGGCATATCAAGACAGCCACAAGTCATGCTGAATGTACCGTACCTCCTCAAAGCAACCACAAGTCTCTCATGTCCAATACACCATCATGTAAATAGATTATCAATACTCTTACTACCTCAAACAAACAGCGATACCCACAACTGCTTATTAAGCAGGACAATTAGAAAAAATAGTAATACATACAACTGATTGCAAGTTTCAGTAAACATGTATCTTATTATGTAAAGTAGTAAACATGTAGGCTGTTCAGCGCAACATGTGGTGAAGGTTTGATCCTTCACCCAAAAACAAAAGTAGAATTTGCAAGACATTTTCCTGCACAAGTGGTTCAAGATGACATTCTTTTTGAGCCTGAATTCCATTTCTCAGTTTTTTTATTTATTTTCTTCAGGCTGAATCCCATTAACCACTGAAAAGACCAATCTGAAGTTTATCAAGTCCTCCCTGCAGATATTTTTCATCTTCTTCCAACTATGACGTAACAACCAGCACTGAATTTGAAGGAGGATGGAATACGAGGAATCCTTGCAACGCACTTGGGGTCAGTCCACAACAAATTAAGCAAACATGGAAGAAATTGGACGATAATAAAGAGTAAAATTACGTAGTACAGGTCAGCCCTTACTAATCTGGGATCACTGGGACCTGTAGTGTGCCGGATTACAGAGTGGTGAGGTTAGAATACGCTTAATTAACCTATCAATAGAGAGTGCTACATCTTCTTCACTGCTTTCTCCTCCACTGGCTTGTTGCTGTGGATTTACAACCATCTGCACAATTTCTGAGTCGGTATAATGATGAAATCTGAAATTATGCTAGCCAAAATTAGTGCCAGATTACTGATGGAACCAGATAACTGATTACTGGACTAGTGATGGCCGACCAGTAATTGTATTTACGATGCAATGCCATGCTGAGGACACGTGACCCCATTCAAGATCTTCAAGTGAATACAGATTAAATTTACCTTTGTACAGGTGTGTAAATTGAGACCAAAGCCCCAACCCTTCCATTACACAAGAGTATTTGATTAACATGCAGGAATGTGTATAATTTTTTTTTTTTTTTTAGATTTTTTCTGCCCTTTAACATGTTAAAAACTAAAGACAACCAGTCCTGCCAGAGTGCGCACATATTGTTTAACAGGCTTCAGTTTCACATGTAACAATAGTACCTCTTCAATGGTTGCCGTCTACTAATCTCCAACAGTCTTGCTGCCAAATGAATAACAAAAAAAGGCCCAATACCATGACTGAAACGATACACAAATAACCCGCACATAGAAGAGAGGAGCAAATTTTTGAATGCGTGAACAATTAGCCTATAATCATAGTTACAAATTATTCAAGAAATGGATGGCTATATTGTACTTACAGCAAAACCTCTTAATGGATTTCAGTAATTTGGAGAGGGGGGGAGGGGAGGGAAAGAGAGATGCCTAAACTGACAAAAATGGACAAAAGTCCGTAATTCTGAATTTTGTCCATATTAATATTATCTGGTTGTCTCTTAAGTATCAGACCAAACTGATGAATCTGACATTTGTCTGCTACAGGCCTGAGCGACCATGTCCAGGACCCAACTCTTTTTTCCTTCTTTCCTGTGCCACAGATAACCCACACTAGTTTGTGCTAACACACACACATAATTCAGTCTATAATTTTCACAATATTTTGTGCATTTTGTGATTTTATTAATACAGTAAGTGAAGTGAAATTAACAATGACTTCCAAAGCAAGTGGCGGTGCCGAGACGAAATGTGTGGTTCTCAGTGTTAAGCAGAAACCTTAAAAGCAAGCACAAGCTTATACATGCTAATGGAGCTATACAGCTCTGACTTATTCTAAGTTATTCTGATCATGGCAGTTTACACATCTCTCCACCACAAAAAGTAAGTAAAATTACTGTAAATTACATTCTGTATCATAAAATTACCACACAATACTACAAGTTATGATACCCATATTCTTAAGTGCCCGGCTGTCTTCTGTATCAGTGAGCCAAGTCTGGGAAGTTTCAGAAAATCAGCATCATAACCCCTCCCCCCTCACCTCAATTAGATCATTAATGAGAGGGTTCACTGTGCACCAGTATATATCACTGACAAAAGATTGTCACTAAAACAAACTTAAGCATAAAATGGATGAAGGGGAAAAAGAAAATTTGAAATTTACCATAATTTTAGATGCCAAAATTAGGAGTGGCAACATTGATGAGAGCAAATCTTAAGCTGATATAAAGCATCTTCAAAAAGGCCACAGAAAACATATTCAATTAGTAAAAATTCAATTGCAGCTCTATAGTGAAATATGGAAAAACTGAAGAACCCTAAACTGGAACAAAGCATAAAACCTAAGAGTGAAAGACTAACAAAGGACATTTAGGAATGTTATATCCAAAGATCACACATTAAAAGGACCACAACTGTGTCATTATCTTAAGGCTAGTATATTACTATACATTAGTAGCCCCTTTTAAGATAGGCAAAACTTCAAATCTGAAGAATATACAGAACCACTCATAGGATTTCAGTAAATTCTTGAAGGATGTCCTGAAACTGCACATAAAATTCACTCTTTACAAACACAAGATGCTATGCAGAGGGTGCAAAATACCTGCAGCAAAAACCAGGGGTCCCATTAGTAGAGAATACAATAAGAGACTAAGGGAACCATAAGCCAAACCCCTCTTTTCATAAGAGGAATTACCACAAACCTTCATCTTCAAGAGAAAACTTTATAAGCACTAAGTCAATTTCTGATCAGTCAGGTTGTAGTGCCCATGTTGGACTGTGTGTAACTACAGGAAGAGCCTGGTTAATCAGGTCAACCACCAAAAGCCCTAGTCTGGAACTGGACTGCAGACACTGACTCCATCCCTCCCAAAGTCTTCAAGTAAATATTAAGAGGAAATTAAAAGTGAACATAGGAAAGCAAATGATGATAAAAAAAATCTAGATTGGGAGGGAGTATGGAGAAGGTAAATGTGTTCATATATTTGGGGGGGGGGGGGGCGGCTTGTTGACAGATGGACCTAAAAAGATGAAGTGACCCATAAAAAAAAGGAGGGGGGGGGGTGCATTTAGGTAACTACGGAGATAAAAAAAAAAAAAAAAAAAACTATCCATGGGGCAAAAAGGGGAATGCACCTTGAGGAGGAGTGGGGATTTGCCATTTGGAGTATCTTAACTGTGATGTATGCATGCTTCTGGCAAGACAGTGAGTGAATGAATAATGGTGAAAGTGTTCCTTGTTTTTTGGATCACCCGACCTTGGTGGGAGACGGCTGGTGTGTTGAAAAATTGAAGAAAAAATAAAATATGCTAAAGTGGTATGGTATCTGCACCTATGAAATGCATGTAGTCCAAACACTAGCTACAAAATGGCTAAATGAAAAAATTTTCAGAGGCAGAAAGAAGCGGACATGAAAGAACATAAATAAAAATATATTTTCTAATTTTATTAACAGGAAGAAAACAAAAACAAAAGGACTATAAATTTAGAAAAAAAAAGGGGGGGGGGGGGGGAAGGTAGAAAAATTAACAGGTTACACTCTTAAGTATTAACGCTGGAAATTTTAGAACATTACATGATTAAATATTGAAGACAGGACACCACGAGCATAGCTCTGCACCTGAAGCTATAAATAAGTAGGCAATTAAAGAGATTCATTTGGGAAGTCACAAAAAATGAAACATACAATATAAATAAATAAAAATACTACACTACATTTTACAGTACTGAAATGTGTCACTTGCCTTGACTCTGGCAGTCGAGTGCAGTAGTAACCCTTCTGAAGACTTTGAGACAGTTTGTTTTTATATCTTTTCTACACACATTTTTCCTCAGAAAAGTTTTTACTAAACAAAA